AAATATCCATATTACTTTACCTCATATGAATTCTATCTAAATTGCATAGATGTCATACAAAACCACCATTCTGGCTTTAGTCAGTGTTCAAGCAATGTACACGTAACTTTATTAATAAAAATGTAGCTTAAACAAATCAAAACCGGGTGTTGTTTTGTGGCACTGTAAGGTATACACAAACATTTCCATGAACACTCATTCCCATGGCTCCCAACTGCACTGAGAGGGGGTAGTTTTTATTTTCACACCTGAACATTCTACAGCACAAAGAATTCTAATTCGTAATGGACAAAACTGGACGTTTAAGTCTAAAGCAGAGCCAGACTTCATCCTGAAATTAAAATGGAGAAAAACTTTCATTAAAGTTTGTAAAAATTTGGTGACATGTTTTTTAGTAGCCTTCTTTATAGCCTGATTGTTTTGAGCATTTTTTAATTTTATCCTGAATGGCAAAACCACAAGAAGTGCTCTTGTTCACTTCTGCTCAGCCTGATATAAAATAATGTTACTGATTAAACTTTTACAGTTATGTCTTGGTAGAAGGCTACCAATTAAATCCATTTCCAAAATGTGAGGTGCCAGAACCTAGGGGACATTCAAGAGACTGACCTGTCAACAGATCTTGTAGCCTCTGCTGGTTTCAAGAACACCAAGCAGATAGTAGGTCTGAATAGAGTCTTCTTTCATCCCTTAGAAGAAATCTAAAAAGGAAAGACCTAAACATCTAAAAGTCTAAGTCTGTTTCTATTTTCACTTCTCAAGAAACAAATTAGATTTCATCTGATTGCCAGTTATCAGTGCTTAAAAAGAAGAAAACCCAACGTCAACTAGTGCCTGTATTACTGTTTAAATTCTTCACTAGGCATAAAACGTGGTGTATAGATCTGTATCTATATAATTTTGTGTATGTCCACAAAAACACACAAACTTTTGGGAATAATTGATTATTAAACAAGTGAAAGACTTATCAGTTTTCAAATGTTCTTCCACGAAAGACAGATGAAATTTTAAACACACACAGCACAAATATTTTCTTACCAGGAAATGAAGCCCAATGATAATCAATTAAAAAAAAATGTTTTTACTGTAAATAGAATACTTTTTATGTCAAGAAAAATGTACATGCTTCCACATTTTTCTCCTTCCTTTATTTATCTTTTTGCTGGTTTTTCTCACTGCTTCTTAAAGAAATGTATGTTCAAATGACATTTAAATCCCCAGTGTTCTCTTCAGAGCTGCATTTGTGACATCTTCCATTTCAGTGGCAAAATACGAAGTTTGAAGACACAACTGCAAATTCATTGCAACAATAAGCCTGTGAAAAACCTCAGCTTAAGCTAAACTGCAATGTTGAATAACCTTGTTCAGAGGAAGGAGAACACAGGGGAGGCCTCTACACAAAACCCCATGATCTGTAGCTCAGATATATTTTGGTAAAGAAGATGGGTGGCAAGAAAGAAACAACAGATTTGAATAGCAGTGAGAACTTCCATGTATCCTGAGAGCTGTGAAAACACAGCTCTCAATAATGCTTAATTTTAATAATTTTCTATTACTGTAAATGTTCTGTATTAGATAGGAAGAGAGTTCATAGATTTCTAACCTCCCCTTGCAACTCACTTAAATAGATCATTGTTTACAAACCTGGCTTGGACTGTTCTTACTTGAGGATGCAGGTGGCACCATCTGTCCTTAGGAGTTCTGTGCCAGACAGTTCTGGCTTCATTTTGTATGTGAACTTTATTCCTGCCTAAAATTGCAATATGCAGATCTTGTGAAAATTACTCTGCTCAAAAGAGTCACAAATGCACATAATATACAAAATAACAAAGACTGCAAGGATTAATTTTATTAAATTTAAAAAATGCAAATTTCTTTTTGATGTTTTCCATTGCAGTACCTCAATCAAAATTTAAAATTATGTCCCAAGGTGATATGGGGACTCTTTAAGTGGAGTATTGTTTTCCTGGAGAGTACAAATATTGTCTACCTAGTATCTCTTTCTAGGTAGACTGAGAACAAAACTTTTCTTCGTGGCAGGGACTGATGAGACAAAACAACAGAGAATTTACCTTCTGTACCTGCACTGCCAGCTCTTCGGGATGGGCCTCCTACTTGCTCCAGACTTTCAGATCAGGGCCATTCCAGATCAGGAGTTTCCAAAACTAAATCAGCTTAGTTTGGGTGCTGAATATGATGAACCTACGGCTCTTCACATAGCCAGTCTGGCCCTTGCCTTGGAGAGGCAGGACCCTGATGGCCAGCCCTGTTTCCAGACCTCTTTCCCAGAGGTAAATGTAGATCCTGAGCTGGTTCTTCCCCATGGGACCTGTGCCTCCAAATTGGCTCAGGGGCAGGGAATGGAATTGTCACAGAATTGTCACAGAATTGCTTTTTCACAAGAAAACAGCAGAAGACTCTGTTGTTTTAAAAATTTTGTCCTAAAATCAGCCCACCAAGCTGTAGATGTCTAGTAGCAAGCTCCCTATTTGTCAGAATATCCATTTTTTTAGGGGAAATTTTGCAACAGGGCACCAGGCTGGTAGAAGGATTTATTAGTAAAGTATTTATCAACCAAGTGTGTCTGGTCTCAGTTACACCCTGTGACTACACTGAAGTCCACTGAACTTAGTCACAGGGAAACACAACAGAGCTCCACTGGGATTAAACTCTCAGTTACATGCATGCAGCCCCAGTGGATTCAGTGAAGATGCAAAAACATACACGATGGCAAAACTTGGCTTGTTGCTATGTATCAAGATGCAGGTGGCACCAGATGCAATGGGTTTCCAGTCTCTTGGCAGATGTTCACAGCTGTCTGAGAGCAGAGAAAAACTCACATAGTTAAGTCACATTTGGGCAGCAGTTTGAGACAAAATTGCATTTGTTTTGTTTTTTCAGTTTGTTGATGCCATTTGTCACTTTGAAGTTGGCTGTTATTTTTGGAAAGAAAAAAGGAGAAGCCCCCCAAAACTACAAACCTACATGATGCATGTTGTTATTGATGCCAGGACAAAAATGAAGGGACAGATACCCAGATATTATATAGTGTATGCAAACATCTTCCTCTTATGGGCTGGCCAAATGTTACTTGCTGTCTATTTTTCCACTCAACACCATTGTTTTTGTTCTTTAATCTAATCTATTTATCTGTAAAAGTTTGAAAATTTGTACTCAGCACCTGTTTTGGAACATCGGAAATATATACTGTTGTTTCATAGGGAACTTAAATAACTTTGTTATGATAAAGGACATGGGAGAAAGGGTAGCTTAAACATAAACAATGGTGGTTTTATCCTTTGAAAAATCCAAGGGAAGCTGTGTTTGTTGACAGCAAAGTTTATTATTCTGAATGAGTAATTTATTACCCTGAATGAGCAATTTTCTGATCTTCTCTGATCTGCTCAGCTCCTTTTCCTTTTCTCTTCCTTGCTCTGTTGTTTCACACCAGGCCTGTGCTCAGGCAGATACAGATAATAAAATTATCACCATCTCTGAAACATATTCTACTTTGAAGTGTTGTTTTTCCGACTATATTGACACCATTTGACATCACAAATGTGAGTGAATTTTTCAGCAGATCTTGCTCATTCTGACTGACCCTTCCCAGTTCGCGCAGATTATGTTACAGCATTCGGAGAGGAGCGACAAGCAGGGCCCTCTGCTGAGGAGCTCCCCGAAAGCCAGACCCGAGCATCTCAAGCAGGAGCCGTCAGGCCGATGCCCACAAACACCAGAAGGCTCAGAGGCAAATTTGTTTTCTGTCTGGCAAACGGTGAAGGCCACCTGTGGGCAGCGCGCAGCACCCGCAGCACCGCGCTCCTGCAGGAGCCGGGGCTGCGGGAGGGTCCCCAGCTGCGGCATCTCTGCTGCTCAGAGCCACCCTCTGCGGCCAGAGGAGCTGCGGAGCCACACACCCAATGCCAGTGCCATCCAGCAGCGCTGCCTGCCTGCCTGCCTGCTCCTCCTCTGCCGACCGAGACACCGGCAGCTGCCCTCTGGCAGCGACAGCTCCGGTCCGCGGTCTCTGCTGGGGTGTGACACCTCTGAGATGGCTCTGTCCATTTCCAGTCCTCTAGCACCCCATAAAGGATCACCCCAGGTGTCCTTCTAACAGCCTGGATGCTGCTGTCTCCAGATCTAGAAAAACTTGGTGGTATGAGAGATTTCATATTCTCTGTTAGAGTGAAGTTGCTGATGTTTGAAACATTATTAGCGGTGAACAGGACAAACAAATAGAAGCAGACCTGGTTCTCTGAAGAAATGTGGGCTAAAACTTGGTGTTTACAGTTTTACATACCCTTAAAATCAGTTATCTGGATCCCATCCAGAATCTGATTGATAGACAACAAATGTTTTTTCAAATTATATCTTTCTGGAATGGCAACTCTGATGATCTAATTTCAATTGATGTTTTGTAGGGGAAAAAATAATTTTATGTCATTTTCAGTGAATTGCTGAGTATCTCAAATTAGAAGGGACACATCCATAACGGTCATTGAGTGCAAATTCATGCTCCTTTCAGGACTACCTAAAACTAAGTTACAAGACTGAATTCTCTAAGGAAGCAATTATCTTGAATTAAAAACATTTGTCTTGACCCTAACTAATTTTTTAACATAGAGTGCCATCAGGAAAATCCAAAAAAAATTAAAAGGAAGGCATCAAAGTAAGGAATAGCCTACATTCAAAAAATTAATAAGTTTTTACATCCTAAGAACTATGTAAACAACAACAAGTACATATACCTGAGTTTAGACTGGTTCTTTGCGTATTATTTTATAATTATATCCTGTGAGAATTTAAATATCTGCACATGCACATTTGCATACAGTTGTCTTTAAGTTGAGAGGGCTAGCATCATACTTCATGCATTCATTTGCATTCATCAACTCATGTGTAAATTTCTCTGCCCCTGAGCAAGTGAAGACAGGGCAAAGTACCTGAGCAGAATCCAGCCACACATGAACAGACACACTGAAGTCTGTACTCACGCAACAAAGTGAAATTCTCTCCACTGTGCCTCCTCCAAATGAGAATTTGCCTAGAGGGAGAGTATTTGCCCTTAAAACACTCATTAGTAGCACACTGCATTTGGGGTTCAGTGACTTTCCCTTCCCAGCATCCCATCTCATACACTGAGCCGCAGCCGCCCCGGGCATTGGGGTCGGGAGAAGCCCTCGGGTGAGCTGTGCTGTGCAGAGGCACGTTGTGTAACACCCGTCTGCTAAGAGCTGAGGCACTGAGTCCTGCCAGACTTCTTGGCTCTGAGCGAGCTCCAAACACTGCAATAGGTATGTGATCTTATCTTCCTAATAGTGTGTAAAAACTTAGCACAATTTGGACACAGTATAAATATTGTTGACAGTGTTCTTTAACAAAATTATTCATAGCAACTTAGTTCCAGCTGTAAAACTTCTGCTGCGCCTCTTCCTTAATAATATATTTATAATAAATATTTACAATGCAATACCTGTTTTCCCAAAAGGTACAAAGATTTATTTATGAATTCTTCTTTCAAAAAGTTAGCATTTTTATGATGTTTCTAAACTTATAATAGTTTATTATGGTTTGGGCAATATCTGAGATAGCTGTACAAAAAAGAATTCAGGACATCTGTTAATTCTAGAATATTTGGTTGAGTATTACTATATAAACATAACAATTTACCAATTACTTACATGTTGAGTTATATGGAAATATGAAGTTTTCTTTTATATGTATCCTTGTGAATAGTAATATTTTCATCAGCATTCATGAAACTGAGCCAGAGTAAAATGCATTTCAACTTTCCAAGATCAAATAGAGGATCAGCCATAAAAATAGCAGATTTTTCTAATCTAGAAGAAAGTAGAAGTACATACTTGTGTGTCATATGCATGCTTGCTTAAACAAAACTAGATAAGTTCATGAAATAAGATTTATCCAGGATTGTCTGACATGAATATGCTGGCTCTGAAGCCTGTGAATTGCAAATACCTGGAAACTGGAAGATCGTGCTGGATGTTGATGTTCCTTGCTTTTGATCTTCCCTAGGCCTCCAACACTGATCTCCATAACAGAGGAAACATGGCTAAATTGACTCTTTCCTACCATTCTACAGATATTTTTATCTTAAACTTGTAGGATAGAATGTGATGTGACCTGACAGAAATTTATTCGTTTTAAGGGACAACAGTTTCCTTTGGCTTTGAATTTCTGCCACTTTCTAGGCTGGGAAATGGCCTGAGCAGAAACTTGCAATGCAATCAGGCACACAGTTAGGAAGCAGAAAAAAGAGTGAATCCTTATAAGTGGAGCAGATGTGCCACAGTATTGTACTGTTCTACTTGTGCAGTCATGGACTGAGCCTCCCTAGTCTTACAGACCTTTCTTTGGTGTAATTGTTATATACATCTTTCAGCAAGCAGTGGGGAGAACCACCAGTAGGAAAGCAAACTGAATCCCTTTTTCTGGTCCCAATGCATTCTACATTTGTTGTCTGCTGCCTACAGACACAGCTTTTCCTTGCAGCTGGAAAGCCTTTTTTTCTTGTTATAAAACGCGAATTAATAAGGCAAATAAAGTACATGGTTCTGCATTTGAGACTTGCTGCATAGTCCTCCCCAGTACGTGGGTAACTATTTCTGTTCTGGCTTCTTGGCCTCTGACTCACTTCTAAATATTAAAGTATGTGAAGGAAAGGTGTGCCGCCCACTTATGCTAAAGAAAGATCACAGTGACAGAAGCAAAGGAAAGAAGAGGGGTCCTACAATGGACTTTGGAAGATTAATTTCCTCTCTCCTGTTGTCAGTATCCAAACAAATACAGAAGTTCTACAGTTGCATTTCATGTCAATTCCACCACATGTTGATTTCCATCTCCCCATCTCCTTGAATGTTTTGCAAACACATGTTAGTATTTGCCTTTCCTCTGCTACGGATGTGTGTCTTCCACTATGGGGGCTGTGAAGAACAACAAACACAAATATATGGTTCCTAAGAGCTGCTTTCTCCTCATGCACCTGCAAACGGGAACAACATTACCCCTTTTGGAGGATGTAAGGTACTTACACCACTTCTGCTGGAAGCTGAGGGGTATTCTACCACATTATCACTATAATTTCATTTAACTTTAGACTTCAGTGTTTTCAGAAATACACCACTGTGTAGGTATGGAATAAATCTACTTGTACTCCTGATAGTTTTGCTACTATCTGAAGTTACTGAGTGATGTTACTCTTTCACTTTCTTCATTTTTGATAACTGTACTCTGAAATGGCCAGACTGGCTCTTTGCTCTCCTGAAAAGCCATGTAGAAAATACATTCAAGTCCCGGGGTCAAAGTTTAATAACCACTGGATACTGGAGGTCATAGACCAAAGGTTATATACCAAGATCCTGGACACCGGCGTAAGTTTTCTCCAGCTATGAAGGTATAAAGCAGGTAATGAGAGACATAAAGAAGAGAGCTCGAAGAAGCCTTTTATATTTCTTGAATGTTAGCTTTTATGATTAAAGCCATCAAAAGGACTGCCTTATCTAGTGCCTGTGATGGGAATGGCAGATACAAAGGAAGAGTGGCCCTGATACTAAGATACCTGGTGTGAAGCTCCTTTGTTTGCTTCATAGTGGATAAGGTAACATGGTGTCACATATTGAAGATGAGGGTGGACAGCACAGACCATGGGGAAAACATCTCAATACAAGCAATTTGCATAGGCAAAATAATTTTTTATGGGTGTGTGGACATGCTTCCTTTAAGAGGTTAACACAGTCAGCATATAACACATTTCAAAATTAATTAATTTTTTCTCCCAGCTGTTGTCAGTCACAGGTTCCAGGCCTTGGTTTGACTTGGCGAAGTTGCATATAATTTTTCTACTCATGTTGTTCCTGAACAGGAAGGAAAGAGATCTCAAAATTCTTATTACCAGAAACAACTCTGCTATAATGCTGCTGACTACTACCAAATTGCCTCAGGAAAATACTCCGTCCAGCAATTACCTACCTTTCAGATGTAAACCAGCCTCAGGTGATACAAATACTAACTAGAAAAATGCTGTCCCTGAGTCACTTGTGAGTCCAAACATCTTTTTCTCTTAGTCGGCTGTCCAGTCACCAGCCCAAGATGGACTCATCTGTTCTTTAGGTTTCTACCTTTTCCACCAGGAAAATGTAATGTATCAGAAATAATGTCAGAAAAATGCACATAAATACTTGTGGATACCCTTACACTCAACATTCAACATGATTTCTTAATTTTTGATTTTTCATACTCTTTCTTTTACTGAACTTACACCTTCACTTTCTATCTGCCTCCTTCTTTGTCAATAGCTAGTTGAAGTTTCGCATACAAAAAAGAGTAAAATTTTGGATGTCCTGGCAGTAATTTATGTTAAAGTGATCACATAGCAGCATTTTAGATAAACTGACAAATCAGTTAACACTAGCAATAATGAAACTCAAATGATCAGACTGAACAACTACATTAGCTACAAAACAAAACTCCAACTTACCCACAGAAAAAAGATCTCCTTCACTAACCTGCATTTGGAACTTATTGCGCCTCTGACTTGTACTAGTAGCTTCCTTCCAAAATTCAGTTTCAATTGCTCAACAGTGCTGTCCCATCCTCTTGATCATTCCCTGGTGTCCTGCTGGTCACATTGCACCATGGATTTAATCTCTTTCAAATCCCCTAGCCTTTTCTCCCCTGTATTGCTGCTTTGCTGTAGGTAGAGGCCTTTTCTGGAACTCATTTTTGCTACCTGCTGGCCTCAGGATCTAATTCTTGCCTGCATTTCAATAAGAGTCAAAGCAGTGCAGAGATGTCATTCAGTTCTACCACACTTTGACCGTTCCAGTCTAGGGTCCGACTTACTGTAGAAGGGTCTCTCCTTCTATTTTTTTTTCTCCCTTAAAAATAAATTTATTTTATAACATGTCAAGCATTTCCATCCAGTTCATATTCACTTCATGTGCAATTTTTTCAGTCATCTTTTACTTTATTTCCAATTGTATTTTTAAAAAACTTATGCTTGAGTATGTGTGGTAAAGGAAAAGCATTGCTGAACACATGCATGGTGGATTTTTAAAGTGTTTATTCTGCCATGACAATGCAGAGATGAACCTGGCCATGATTTGTCAGACATAAGGGATAATTTTATACTGATGGTTTGTTGATATTTTTTCAGGAGATGTAGCAAATTGTGGAGGAGCCTAATCTAAAGAACCCTAAGGAGGAACTTGATTTTCAGACAGTAACAAGAAATTTTCCCTTTGGAAACACATGTGTTTACTGGGCAGACATCCAGCTTTACCACTCCTGCTACTGCTGTCCTACTGCTGTAGGTACATGAGTTAAGATAGGCAAGCAGCAAGAGGGCAGAAAATCACTGAAGGGGTACCTGCTTTTTCTTGTTCTCCAGCCCTCCTGTGCCCTCACAGACTGGCCCAGCACCCAAAAAAACCTTGTATCATCAAAGACAATAGAGTTGCTCCTCCTGGAACTGCTAGGGTCAGAGGCCTCCATTTATGGGAATAGCCTACTACCTCAGAGCAAGGAATATACAGACATCTGGAGGGACAGGCAGATAGCTTGATCTTGAGGCATGGACTGCAGCACTGAGATGACAAGATACTGCAATTTCTAGTTAAATTGACAGACTGAATTAATGGGATAAGGAGCAGGCCCCCATCATGCCAAGGATTTGAGTTTCTAGAAAACTTCCCCTTGCTTTTATTTAAGTATGCTGTAATTGTGGATATTCTCTGTCATGGCTTGTGTTTGATGCCTTTGCCTGGGGAAGACAAATTCCTTGCTGGAATTACTCCTACTAGCAACTGAAGTACAGCTCAGACTACTCATCTCTATCCCATAATTAGCTCTGTTTTTCTTCTTGTGATACATGAGCTCGTTTTTTCCCATTTCTAGTTTTGCAGAGGAGTTCTGTGTGAATTTCTGCTCCTCTGTCTTTAAGTACTTTGTTAAGAACTGGACTCTAAAAGATGTCTAGAATATTTTGCTGTAGAAAGATGACTACAGAAAGAGTTTGCATGGACTGGACCACAGTCTGTTACTGGAAAGGAAGCTTAACATTCAGCTTATGCTGTAAATTTCCCTTTGGCCCGGGTATTGCCAATGTTATCCTGAGAGTTCCTGTGGTTCCAAGCAAAACCTACTGCCCATCCATCAGCAGAATACAGGCCTTTTAATTTAGCCATGGTGATATATGTGTAACTGAGCCTAACAAAAAAACACAAGGAAAAATGCAGTTCCCCACTTCCAATCTCCTCCCCTGCCCCCCAACCTC